CATGAGGACAGGAATCCCTTTCCACTTTGAGATGTGCTTCCCAGACCAGACCTAAGTGTCTGTTAAAAAAAATAACCAACAAACCAACAAGAAGGAAATTCTTGGCAAAAAAAGCTTTACAATCCCAACCTGCTGCTGGTTTCTGGTGGCTCCAGAACTGAGGAGGCTGTGCTGGGCAATGACAGCTTTTTATGAAAATGGAAAATCTGGGGGGAAATTCAACTCAGTTTCCAAAAGGGATGCCTCAAGATCATCTACAGAAAATCTTTATTTGTTTCATACTTTGATTACTTACTTGCTGACAATGTTTTCCCATGGCTCACCTGTTCTCAGGAGGTATCCAGCCCAGGCACTGACACTTTGTCAGGTGCTGGTTTGGGTTAGAGGCTCATCCCATTCCACCCTCTGCCATGGGCAGGGACACTTTCTACTACCCCAGGTTGCTTCAAACCCCATCCAACCCCCAACAGGGATGGGGCAGCCACAGCTTCTCTGGGCAATGCTTGAGAAATCAAGATTCTTCTGCTAAAAATCAGAACTGTTTGCTGTTTAAGGACTTTAAAAAAACTGCCTACAATTACGAAAGGTTATAAAAATTCTTCAGTGAAATCCATGCTCAGCAACAGTTCCTATCAGTGGAATTTCTCATGGAATTAGACTAGAGCTCTCACTAGTGAGGACAACACGACGGTCCCTCAAGTAACTTTAGGAAAACCTTAATCCCACAAGACACATTAGAACAACCTGCAAAGATCACAAGCCACTGACAGGAAGGACTGGGTTTTTTAAGCCAAGTTCCCTAAAGAACTGAGAATGTGTAGGACAATTACAATCCTAAGAGGAAACCTGAAGAGACCGCTTTGGATTCCCTAACACCATGAACTTCTTAAATCCATCTCCACAGAAACAATCCTGAAATAAAAACCTTATTTTCTTTATCACCTAGAGAAAGCTTTAATTAAAATTTAAAAATTAAAGAAAGAATTGCAGAAGTCAATCCAGAGCCAAACTCCTCCACGCAAACCTATGCAAAATAATTGAGCATTAAATGCTGCTTTCCAAAGAGGATGCAAATAAAATCAGGGCTCGCTGAATTAAGTAAAAAACACTTGTGTTTAAAGTGGATCCTTGGCAAACACACACCTATTCCCATTACATTTCTCAGCTCTGGCACTTCAGAGCTGCAGGTAAATACGATAAATTGGATTTTCACGAGGAGGAAGAAAAATTCCCTGCCAAGTGGAAGGGACTTAGTCCTTCACAAGGACACAGCACAAAGCACTGAATGCTGACAGATAGGTTTCACTAAGATGGAAAGATTGTGCAGGGAAACAACACAGGGAGATGTAACTCAGCTTCTCCTACTACTGAAACAACTCCAGATCACAAGGATGGAAAAGTAAATGAATGTTTGCTAATCTGCAGGATGACAAAAGTTTGCTTGAATTGCACCAAGTACAGGGTAAATACAATTCAAACAGGACACAGCATTAGGGTTCTTGGCCCAGCAGGCCTGGGCAAGGAAGAAATCTAAGGAATACTTGGAAAAACATTTCTACTTTAAGCCACACGAAGCGTGCAATGAATCTTCTGTTGTGTGTTGTACAAATGGCTTTGAAATGTTTTTTGGCAGAAGTAAACACCACTAGGAAATGTAAGGGCTTTTAAGGATCCTGGCAAAGAACTGCAATGTCCTGAGGCAGTTCCCAAAGCAGCCATGACAGATGGACATATGGAAAGTATTTCCTAGATTTCAGCTAACAAATCACAGACACGGCACCCACAGCACCTCTGGATGAGGAATGCACAAGCCCTGAAGCACCAACCTCACTTGGTTTTCCACTGCCAAGCTCTAACTCTGGTGTTTGAGTATTCAACCTACCTGGCTGCCACAGAGCAGATCAGTAAAGCTCTGTGTGTTTGCTGTGTAAAACCCAGCAAATCCTACAATTTTCAGCTCACATAATTTTTAAGTGAGTAGTCATTAAAACTTAAACACTTGCTCATTGCTTTAGAATCCATGGAATTGACTTGATTGACAATTAATGGCTCTGGCTATCCATAACTACTGACAGACTTCTGTGCTCAATGCAGAGTGGTCCAAGCTCACTAATTAGTAAGAACTTCTTTAAATTCAGCAAGAAAACTCATACCACCAAACCGCTGAGATTGTATCAGAGTGAGAAGACTGAATGTTGGGCAACTCCTTGCTTAGTTTACATAGAGACATCAATCATCTTTTTATTCTGATTTATTGAGCTCTACACCAAGAGAGGATGCTTGCTTATCTTCCAGTGACTGTGACCCAACTGCAGAGCAATGTGGGCACCAAGGATGTCCAGCATTTGGGAAAGCAGATGTTGGTAAATCTGCGCAAATTTGTTGTGCAACCTGCTAAAAAATTACTGGCACCTAGCAAGGTGTGTGTGGGAGAGAACTGTAAAATGAGTAAAGCTGCATAAACAAACATCTTTAATTTTTAAAATAGCTTGTAAAAGTTACTTGATGCTCACTGGCTGAAGGAAGCTGCAAAGGAACAAGCTCAGTAACTGACAGCTCCTTCCTGGAGCTAAAGGAAGTCCTGGAGGGCTGGAAGCTGACAGTGAACTAACACACATTTCAGATAAAACATGTTAACAGAGCAATCAGTTTATAGAACTTGAGCTCTGAATTTTGTATCATTTTACATCTTAGAACAAGGCTGCTTTTCCAAAAGGCACAACTACGTGCTCAGTTACACACCACAGACTGAATGCAAAGGTGGAGAGGTGCCTTACAGAGGAAGGGATCATAACTGCCCCTTCCAGCCTGATCTAACACAAACATTCCCAGCACAGCCGTTTCCCAAGAATCAGCAATAGGGATTTGCTATCTCTGACATGACTTTTTCCAGCATCTGCAAGGCAGGAGTCATTTGTGATGACCTGGAGCTGACCAAACCCCAGCCTCAGCTCTCAATAACCACAGACAAGGCCTGGGATTAGCTGTTACCCTCTTGGGCAGCCAGGCTCAGCCTGGGAAGTCAGCAAAGGAATGCCAGGACTTCAAATCTGAAGGGCCATCAATGAGATTCTGAGTCATCTCCCCTGGGAGAACCACAGGAGACAGCCTGAGGTGCAGTGGTTTGGCTGTAACACAGCAAACACCCCCAGGATTCCCTGCTGGACACAGATGTTTGTGTACAGAACTGTTCCTGTATAGATGGATTTGCACATCTGCTCATACAGAGACTGAACATGCAAGCATGTATTACATGTATGCTATCTGTGGAATCATATTACACATGTAATTAATTAATTAGCGTTAATTAGCATTCCCATATTAATCCCATAGGGCACTGGAGGTATTTCTTAAGAGCCAGGATGGGACCACAGCAGTCTGACCCCACAACAAAGTGTTTATGGAAAATGACATCTCTGCCAGGGAAATCAAAAAAACAACTCAGGCTGCAACTGCAGCTTTTTCTCTCCTTTGCATTATTTATTCTCTCCACAAAGGCAGCACTGGGATTTTTTGATGTCACCACAAAACACACTACAGAGAGCCCTACCTGGCGCTGTCACTGTCAATGAAATGCCTACATTAAATTCACATAAGCTCAAAAAAAAAAAAAAAAAATTTAAATGGCATAATATGAATTTTACAGATGCTTATGACAGTGCTGGGAGTTTAATAAACAAAAAATGTTTGTTCCCAAAAAAACTGTGATTTAGAGGACTGTCAAAAAAAATGCTCAAATTACTTTTCACTTCTTCAAACAACCCCCATGCAATTAGTGTAGCAGTACCTATTTTTGAGGACTCACTTCTGGTTTTGAGGGAGGTGTATCTTTTAAATCAGGCAGCATTTACCTTTCTGTGGATTCCCAAGATTTCCAATCTCTCAATGAGGCTGAGATGTTCAGGACACCAATTTTAACCACCCAGGGCCAGGGGGTGGAAGGGGATGGGCTTTAAGGTGCCTTCCAACCCAAACTATTCTGTGATTCCATGACAAAACAAAACCACAGAGACCCCTCTCTTCCAGAGCAGGTCTGTAGACAATTTTTTCCAGCTTTGCTTTATGTTCTCATCTCAGCCCTGCAAACAGGGATGAATACCAGAATAGCTACAAGATCTCATTAATCAAAAAACAGCTGGAAAGATGAACTTGCAATCCTGGTATTTCCTCTCGAAAAAATGAGATAAATTAGGTACGCTGCCTGACTGTATTTTCAATGAACTCTTCCAATCAACACTTGCTTACCTGGAAACTTTCTTCAATCTTAAAGGTTAACTTCAACAAAAGTGTTGGAAGAGTTTAAATTAAAACAAGAGGTCTTGAAAATACCAAGTGTGAGTTCCATGTGCTTGAGGAATATATCTGTGTAGTGTAACATGATGGAATTTTGGAGATAGATACAAAGAAATTGGCACTTTTGCTAAGATGTGAGCAGTACATCTCATTTATGTTCACCAGGCCACGTTCTGCTTTGCCCAGTCCATAATACACACGTGAATATTAGGATCAGTAAAAAGAAATTAGAAGTTTCCACACTCCTGTTCTTTAAGCCTGCCCAGATTTCTCCTGGCTTTATAAATACATGCACCTCTGAATAAAAGAGCTGCCTTTGGAAAGAGAGAAAGAGATCTCTGCAGATGTCTTCTAAGGCAAAGGTCACTCATTTCACCATGTCAAACCAACTCACCATCAGTTTGTTACACAGAACATACAAAACTTCAGGGGAAATCTCAGACATGAGAAGGAAAAGATCACCTATTTTGGGGCTGTGACCACATTATAGCCCACAACCCCCAGCACATGGTGACTAACAGTGCTGTGTGGAGTTTACTTTCCCAGAGAAAGCACTTTTTGTTTGAATAATTGGTTGCTGATATAATGAGTCACTCGACTGCCTCAAGCAGCAGCTCCACCCCTCTAAAAGGACTGGCTGGGAACTGCTGAGTACAGAATGTGTGTTTGTTTAGGAACAACCTGCCTTAAATAAACCACTGACTCACCTTGTCACGCAAATGATGCTCTGCAGCCTCAATATTCAAAGGATCGTCAAAATTCAAAAGATCCTGGAAAAGAAACAGAGAGAACATTGAGGGGCTCCCACTCACTGCATCACAAGGAGCCCAAAGCCCTCACGAACAAGGTAATGGAACAAAGCAAACAGGGCACCGAGGGCAGTGCCATTTAATCACTGCCTTGGTGGTGTCCCTGCCAAAGGTAAATGCAAATTAGTTTGGTAATTGGAAACCAAATCACAGGACAATTAAATGGCAAGGGCACCAGGGCATTTAAGCCCTTCTGGTGTGGGCCACACACTGCCCCATGGCACTTCTCCCTGGAAGTCAATGCATTTCTATTGGAAAACTCAATTTTGGAGGAACAATCAAACCTCCAGGATGCACAATTCCTGTGGGATTTTATTAGAGGGCAAAGTAAACCCTTAAAAAACTTTCTGTTTTATCAGCACACTGTTTGAAGGAGTTTCCTTAATTCCACCTCCATAGAAAATCAATTAAATTCCCTCTGTGATAAAGCTATGTAACCAATAGCCTGACAGGGAAGTTTTACTGCTCTGGGAAAAACGAAACCTAGAGGAAAAGCAGTGCAAAGACCCAGAGAACTAAGGACAAGTGGGGCCAGGGAGCAGAAATAGGCACAACAAACCTCAGGCCTCTCAGTTTCATCTCAAATACTAACTTTGGAAGGAGAAAGGGTCTAGGGTTAAAAACAATGGAGAAAAGGAATTATCACTGAAAGTAACAATGAATCACAAGGCCCCTGTTCTATCTACAGCCCAGATCTTTCCCCAGTCTAAGTGAAAATCCCACAATGTCAAAGGCTCCTGGCAGTCCCCAACTCTTCTTCAAGCAGCAAACCCCATGTTTCACTCCAACCAGGACATCAACCCACCTCATTTTCACTCACTTTCTTCAATGAAACCCCCTATGATTCTTCCAGACCAGTGTGATCTCAGTGCCAGCTTTTCAAAGCCTAATTATTTACAAGAAGCTGGGTGTGAGGGAAACCCAGGAGGGAAGCACAGCTCTTACCAGCCATGACAAATCCCTGTGGTCTCATTGGCATGACCACCCCTTTCTGCAGCTCTCTGCCCAATATTTTTATGTGCAGCTCTGCCCCTGAGGATTTTGTTTCCTTCCACATACTTGGCATGCACAGGCAGACTTGCTATGAAATGCAATTCACTTTTGCTGGAATGGCAAATGCTCTCCAAGGTTTTACATCAATTTACCAAAGAAGTTGTTGAAAAAAAAACAACAACCAAGACTTTGGATGCCAGGAAATCCAAGCTTCCTTCTACACCCTGGAGTGGCTGGGGTTGGTTTCTCCAGAGGGGATGACAAATGTGGCCACCAAGTTAGTGCTGCTCTTTGCCTTCTCCTGACCTTCCCATTCAGTAGCAATAGCTGAGGAAAGGAATCCCTAAAAAAGGTGACTTTTGTAAAGACTTAGCCTCTTCTCCACTTTTAGGGCAAAAGCAGCTGTTGCATTCTGCCTGCCTCTTGCAGCTTCCTGCCCTCTCCTCCATTTCCAAGGTGCTCCTGCAATTACAGGTTCCTTACTCCCATCAATCTTGATAAAAAGGGGAGGAAACGGGATCCCTGAATAAAATCACATAAATTCTTTGTCAAGTCAGGTTTTATGCAAGGCCCCTGAACAGGAATATGAGTGTTCAAACCAGGAATGAGACTGCAGGGTAGTCTTTAATTCCTAAAGAGCATTTTTTAAAAAGAATAACACCAACACAGTATCTTCTCAGAGCAGTATGAATTTCTGTCTCCTGCAAATCAGCAGAAAGAGTTTCATACTGTGTTGGAGATCCCAAATTTGTTATCAGAACATCCCCTAATATTTCTAACCCAAGTAAAATCCATGTACAAAAAGCTGGCATTTCAGACAGTCTGGATGAGTTCCACAAGCAAAAGCACAATCTGATTTCATACTTGTCCCACTGAACACCCACTGAAGCCAAGGGAAATAAAGACCTAAACTTTCAGAGGCAACACACAGGATTAGCATTAGGTGATGCTGAAACTAAATCAGGCAGGAAAAAGGAAAGTGGACGTGCAAAATATTCCTTTACTTACAGTAAATAAGGAGTTTAACCCCCAGACAATATCCTGCAAAGGGAAAACATAATTAGTTAGACATGCATTTCAGGAGTTTTGAACATGTTCACAAACTTTATTTTTCTGTTAATCCATGAAATAACTTGGAAAAAAAATCTAGATTACAAGTAATGTTTTCCTAGTTTGAATCAAAATGTTGAAAAAGCTTTCCCATTTCATGGCCACTTGATATTTAGAAGCCAGCAAAAACCAAATATTTGCATATTCAAATATAAGGTCAGATCTTCCAGCATGCATTCCTGTTGCTCCTCCATTCAAGGAAAGGATGCCTTGGGATGTGCCACCAACTAAAAACTGCACTGCTTAGTTTAAAGGGTGGGTAATGGAAGTTCATTCAGCAATCTATTCTTAAAATGAAAAAGGGGTCAAACAAATGCATGAAACTGTCAAAACAGCAGAGAAAAGAGGGTGAGCTGTAGTAGGAGTACAGAGGAATACTGCTCTTACATAAGCATATGTCTCAAGGCATTCCACAGCTAAAACACACCTTTTACAATAAAGATAAAGCCTCAAAGTAAAAAACTTCCTATGCACAGCAAAGAACTTCAATAAATGAGTGTATTTGAGCCTGTTTCCTGTTCTGGGCCCTGTGTTGAGAGTGTGGACCAGAGAAATCCATATCCCTTAAGGACACTATCCAATTATGCCCTAATGAACAAGACACGATGTCAGCATTACGCAGCCAACAGCCTCTCACGATCCAATTTCCCTCTGATCTTGCACAAACAACCCACTCAGTTTTATCTGCTTTTGAAACATCAATCTGCCCAGCAGGGCTGGCACTGTCAACGTTTCCATCCTCAGCACCTTCTCAAGTGTGGCAAAGACAGCAACTTTCAAACGTGCTCATCACCTTCAGTGGCAGCACAGACAGATAAACTGCACAAAAGGGGTGAGCCAGACATTTAATTACAGTTATCTGTAAATTTTAAGACTCTAGTGCTGAGCAGTCACCCTCACTCCCAAACATCAACTTTGCCTGCTCCCTGGCAAGCAAGAGAAAAGGAACTATTTCAAATAATGGATGGAAATCATTGTTTTACATTTTATTTAAGTTGGTACAGAAACCAGGCACAGCAGAGGTCAGCACAGCATGGTATTAAGGAAATCTGTATTACTCCTAGGGATAAATTATTAGTACAATAAATCTGTCAAAGTCACAGATTAAAGGAAGATTTATTGGCATGGAGAGCCTGGAGAGCAGCAAAAGGCAGGAAGGTCTCAATTTCCACTTGATTCTCCCACATCCAGGCATCAGAGGGTGCTCAGCAGCTCTGGGCCCTCTGCCCCAGCAGATGCTCTGGCCCCAAAGGTGAGGAGCCCATTCCACTGCTGTCCTCCAGGGCTGTATTGTCCTTCAGGGAGGCAGAGTTGCAGAAAAAACCCCAAAATTTTTAGCTGCCTTCTACTTACACTATGAGACAGAAGGCTGCAGTTGCAGAGGGTGATGCAGAATCCCAATACTGAGCATGAAAACCATCCTGAAAAGGTACAAGGTCATGTGAGTACTCTGGGGTCTGGCCATTTCTAAATCCTGAATGCCAAACCTGCATTCCCAGGCTCACAAACCCTTCACAGCTGTTCAAGCACCAGCATGGCTAAAAAGGAACAACCAGGAGCAGGTCAGTGCCTTCTAAAATCCTCAAGAGCTCATCTTCTCCTTACACTGAGCAGTGCTGAACCCATGGTGTGCCAGAAGCTCTCCAGACACCAGAGAGAGCTGTCCCCACACAGAACTCCTCCTTGTCCAGTAAAGCTCCAATACCTCACACAAGTAAATGCTACAGCTCCAAAAGGAGATGTGATGTCATATTTTCCCATTATATAATCAGTTGCTCCCAAATTCTTACTTGCTGAGCTCTGGTTTTAATGCTTTGGGGTGCTTGACTCATTCAGGATGGTTTCACAGAGTTCTATTAAAGAACAAAAAAAGGAGGCACCAAACCAACAGAAAACAACAAAAACCTTTGTAAGGCACAAGCTGTCAGAATGCTGAACATCTTCACTCCCATTCTAGACACCAAAAAGCATAACAGGATTATTATTACTTAATAATTTACCTGTGAAAGTTATCATACCATTTTTGATGTTTCCATCTATTCAAGTTTTATGATTTGCTGGATTCATTTTATACCCTTGCATGGCTCCATAAAAAAATAATGTTAAATTACTACCAGAGGTCAATTACTTTTTGTAATGAGTTTGAGGCTAGACTGGATTTAAATCTAGGATATTGAGAAAGGGAAGTGGGATGGAACAGATGAACTAAAAGTGAAGTATTTGGTGTCTGAGAAACTCAACATTGTTGAATTGCAGAAATAATCACTCTGCATTACTGACTTTAGCAGAGCTGCTGGCTGCATGCAGATAAGCACTGGCCTAGATGCTTGCTTTGGGTTTTCCTGAGGAACTGAAAGATGTGCCAGTCACTGAAGATCTTGTCAGACTTAGCAGCTCAAAAGCTTCTGTTTTCCTTCAGTGTAATAAAGCATCAGGCTTGTCTTCAAATATTTACTGAACTTGTGGCTTACACAGTCTGAAAACAAAGTTAAGCCTGTGTGCAGGAATTTTTAAAGGTTATCTTCACAGGGAGGAGCAGGGCAGGTGGCAGCTGAAAATGGTAATGGTGCACACCTTGACAGTGCTGCACCTCAGTGAGACCCTACTTGCACAAGATCAGACATTCACACCTGACAAAGCTGGTTCCTTTACAAAGCAGCTTTTCATCCGATTGTTTCTCTGTGTTTAACATCAAAGTTACAGAGGACAAGGGCACCACTGCTGAGGGACAGCCACAGAGCAAAGCTGAAAGCCTCTGCTTTTGTGTCAAACCTGCTTTTTGCACCTGCCCAGGCTGGACCTGCAGTCAGGGCTGCCAAATTCCTCGAGCTGCTTTATGTGGTTACTGCTCCAGCCATGCCCAGGCTGTTCCCTGTTCGGTATCCCAGAGGTTTCCCAGCAGCTGAGATGTCACCACGGGTCAGATGCCTTTGGGAGTCCATGGTGGGATATGCAAGTGGGTTTAATTCCCATCTATTCTCTTAGTTCAGAGGAGGCAATGATGGTATTTGAAATCAAGAGCTGGGGTTTCCAAGGACAGCAGTACCTGGCTAAATCCACAGTGGGTAAGTGGAACAGGGAATAACAAGGGAAGCACACTCTGCTCCATGGCACTGTCACCATTCTGGGCTGGAGCATGGGGAAGTCAACACAAGCAAGTCAAAAGATCAACAGACTGTTGTAAACACCCCTTTAAAATTGTCCCTTTTCATTCTGGACTATTTTTGTGCTTCATCTGAGTGAAAAGTTACACTAAACCCCTGCCCACAGATTTATTTATGGTGTGCCAAATGAGGAGAAAAAACCTGCTGCTGCAGCAGTGTCTGAAGTTCAAGAGCAGTGACTCAAAATCCTCAATGCAGCTTTTGAAACAGCCTCTCCTGAGGCCAGGGAGTCTCAAGACTTTGCATTTCTAGGAGATCCTAACTCAGTCACTGATCTTGCCAAGTGACAGTTCTCAGAACCACTTCACAAAAGCATTGCCACTGAAACCATGCCACAGACAAGGGTTTCAGAAAGACAACCACAAGCACTTCTGGAGAGAGAGCAAACACAGAAATTGCAAATTAAGATTTTCCTTTAACAGGCAAAGTGTATTTAATACATTAATTTAAGAAGAAATCAAACCAGACAAAAGCACCTAACAAACTTCCAATCAAAGAAATTCCTTTAAGAGATCCAAGAAGCATTTCTGATCTAACAGACTGACCAAATCAAAGCTCATTGCTAAACAATTTTTTAAACAATTAAATTGCAGTTTAACCCAGTCAGATGAACAAAAGGAGCAGCAGTTCATTTATACAAGCACATGTCTGAAGCACATTTTTTTGGTTTGTTTTTAAAAGGGCTGGAAATGCCACTCCAAAGCTCAGCTTGCTCTAGTCCAGCTTGCATGGCCGAGTCCTGGGGCAGCTCTCTGCTGTCTTGTCTGCCTAGACACCACCTCAAGGTGGTTTTCCTCTTCCCCTTCTTCCACCATCTCTTAAAAACAAGCTCAGCTTCTTCCTCTCTTTACTTACTGCAGCCTAAAAAGCCAAGCACACTTCATCCCACCCCACCAAATTTATCACTGGTCCTGGGGATCAAAAGAAAAATTTTCCTTCCAGAGACCTAGGCACTTCTCAGCTTATGAAAACATTTCTTCCCTCCTAAACTGCCTTCTCCCAAATAAAATCTCCTTTTATATTTCCTCTCCTGCTCCTCTCTAATCTTGCAAAACTTGGAAAACATTGTTTCCACCCAGAATAAGGTGATAAAGTGAATGCCACCTTTCTTTAGCCACCCCAGTTGTCATGTGCCTGCCATCCCGGCCTGTGCTTCCCACCCAAACACAACAGCAGCTCCCTACAGGACTTTGGGTAACTTAAAAGGCATAAACTGCTCCAGTTAGCAAACACAAAACAAGGAGGAAGGCTGGAAAACCATTTCTTTTGTACTTAAATATAGGAGGAGAAAGCAAACAGGAACAATTCCAGCCTGTTCCTCTCACAGTGTGAACTGCCAAGTATGCAGGAGCGCTCCTCTCAAGTCCCTCACTTTGTCACTGACTCCTGACATTTGTCCCCGTGGTAACTTCAGGGCAAGTGGATAATCCTGTATAAACTGTTCCCTGGGGAATTCTCTGATGGCTTCTTAATGAACTACACCACAGTGATTACAACACTGAAGCCATCACCCTCTAGAAACCAGTCTGCTCAGTGCATTATAGGCTGACACAAATTGAATATTCAGAAATGAACAATCTCGGGAGAACAAGTATGGTTTAATTACACTTACTGAGGTACCTCAGCTCTCCTGACTCACAAGCTTATAACAACAGCTACTGTACCTAAACCAAAGATTTGGCTTTGCCAGGGGGCATTAAAAAAAAGAAAATTAAAATTTTGCATCTCTTTTCTGAAGCAAAAGCTATCAGAAGACACTGAGTTGTATATTTTCACCTGCCTAGGCACGTATGGAGGGGAAAGAAATAAATCACTTTTTACAAAACTGCTAAAGTCATTTTATAATAAAGTCAAAATACAAAACAATATATCCCTGGAAAAAATATTTCCTGAAGCTTATTTTAAGAAAAAACTGAATGTCAGATCTACACAGAAGATTGTATTCAGTGCTTTATAGCTTCTCTTTCCAAATACTGGGTCTGAAGTTTTTATTCAATTTTTAGAAAAGACCAACTCCAAAACAGGATTTAAATAAATCAATAGCTGTATAATGTTATCATAATGCTGAGAAAAACAGCCTGAGCAACAAGAATTAATGTTAACATAAAGCATACAGGTTTCTTTTTTCTCTTCATCCTCCAGACAGTGACAGTTATTTTACTGTCTGTCTAAAACACTCCTCTACACTAATTACAGATGATTTGACAGCAGACCATCTATTTTCCTTAAGATGATGGGTGAAAGTTTTGTACTTTCAAAACTCCTCAGGTTGATGCTCAAACATTGAGGCAAACTGGAAAAATTAAGTCACGACCCTCTGATTTATTTCTCCAAGAGATTAATTTGACATTTGGATGATTCCAAATGAAGTCATTCCACTGCCTGAAGACAACAGCAGAACCAGTGAACCAAACAGGACCAAACGTTGCCATTTAGTATTAAAACACTAATTAAATAAGCAAGGCTCTTAAGGATCAACTCCACGTAGCAATAGTTTAGTGGAAATGAGTCTAAATTCCTTTTAGGTCAGGTAATCTAATATCACAGACAGATATTTATTAACCTAGGATGTGGAGTTATGGGAGAGAAATTCCTGAAAAAGCAGTGGTTGGCATGGAAAAGCTGTCTGCAGATCTAGTTTAAAACTACCTGGATGTTTCCCACTCCTGCTCCTGTCTCTCCTGACAGCAGTAAGACAAAAATGACAAAACCTAGCACTTCAAACTATCTCAGTGAAAAACTGAAATGCACATACACCTAAACACACAGGGAAACCCTCCAGAAAATAGCCCAGCTCTCTGAGACCAGCTGGATCTCCACCAGAACACAGCTACAAAAAGAAGAAAAAGGACAAATATTCCCTGTGAACATCCATCAGACATTGTTAAACACTGGTTTTAATGTTCAAATGCTCAGCCCTCCACAGAGCTGCCCAAGTGTGCTTTGATTATTTTTAAGGTCCATCAATCAGCCACTGATTTATGGACCAATTTCCAGTTGCAGTTACTTAGAGGTAACTGCAGAAGGAGCCTGACTTTTAGAACCAGTCAGGCATTTAAAATACAGATCCACTTGTTCAGTTATTAAAATCAATCACCTGAGATGTTTTCATAGCAAAATGAAAACAAACATTTAGGACAAAGCTGAGGAATATTAAGGAGAAAGAAAGCTAGGCAGGTGATAATCCTGGCAAATAAGGTGCAAGTTGAGGACTAACAGTAGCTACTAAAGCACCCTGGAGGTTGAAATTGAAATTACTGAAGGGTACAAAGCAGAGTAGCAGAGTAACAGCAACAACATGAGGTATTTAAAAGCTGGTCTTACCAGTGACATAAAATCTGAGAACAGAATGGAATTAAAGCCGTCTATTTGCTTTATGCCTGGGAAACATTCATTTTGACCATCACAAAAACAGGAGAAAAGCAAGTTCAGACACCGTGAGCCGAGCCCAAAGTAACTGCAACAGTTTCCAGCTTTGTGAATAAGCTGTCTTAGAGAGGAAAATATGCAATAAAACGATGTAGAACATGCCAGAATGGAGACTGAAAGGTAAATAAGCTCCTGCTGCTAACTCATGTTTAGCTACAAAGGATTGAATGATGACACAAAGATCAGCTGGAAAGCACTGCAGCAGTGTTCACACAATCCAGGAGACCAACCACTATCAAAAATTACCTAAGGGTTTGGGATTCTGGAGTGTTTCTGTGAATTAAAAAAAGTGATTTAAAAAATGTATATATAGACAGGCTGGCAAGTTAATGTTTTAAACCTGTTTCAGGGTAAGAGCCCAACTCTGCTCAGAATGTGATTTTAAAAAAGCATCTAAGGCAGGAATTCAGAAATAGCACATTCATTAGTGCCTTCACTCACACACAGGCTGCTCTTCACAGTGGTCCATGGAAACGTGTTCCCAAGCACAAAGAAGGGAAAAAAGATAAAGCTCAACACTTGGTAACCTGAAGAGAATTCAATTCTGAATGAAATGACACCAAGTGCAAAAAAATGCTGGGAAACAAAACTGAGTTAGGTCTTTTCCCCCCATTAAGAATCCTCCACACTGTTAAAAATACACCTTATCACGTAAGTTTTATAGACAACTGAGCAGATTTTCATTTTTATTTCAGAAAGTTTCTTCATGTTTCTATTCTTCATTTAATACTAAAAAAAAAAAAATTAAAAAGGTCACAACAGTTTATTTAGAAGGATTTTTCACATAAGAGCTCTGCTGCCACCAGAAGGATTCAGAAATGAGACACAGTCAAAAACTTGAGCCTTCTAAAGGGTTAAGCACACAAGCTCCATGCATCTGCATTCAGCACGGTTTGTGCATGAAGCTTCTCATACGTATTCTAGATTTAAATGGCTCTTTTAATGCCCTTGGAAACAGTTTTTGTGGCAGAAGGACATGCCCCCTTCTCAATTTAAATCTTTAGGAGTAGTTCAGAGTGTTTTATTGGGCAGATCTGGGTGCTATTCCTCCAGAAAACCAGTCTGACTTCATATTATTGAAAAATGAAATGCTGACTTTGAAGTCCACAACAGGCCAAGACTGGACTTCTGTTCACTGTGCTTCTGTGCAAATTCTCACTCTTCCCCTTCTGGTGATGAAAAGCTGTAAAAAGTGAGCTCACAACTGTGGTGCTTCAATGTTAAAAAAAACAAAAATCCAAGGAGGACATCTGATTTGATTCTTTTCTTTCTGAAGCTTAGCTATTACTTCCTTTTCTCTTGTTGAATCTTTCATTTCAACAATCACAGAAAAAGCTCCTTTTGGGTTTCTCGTCCACTTGCACTAATTTTTTAATGGCTGAAGCTTAAAACTCGTAGCCTAAAAACTCTCTCTGAATGAAAACACAGGGACAGAAGCAGAACTAGTTAACATAAATTACTCAGTGCCTTGATTTAACCTGAGAGAAACAGAAACACAAAGGGCAAAACAAAATCACACCAACTGATGAAAAAAACAACAGGGAAAGACTGTTTAAGAAAATCCACAAAACAACACACTCATTTTACCTCCAGAAAGTCACATGCTCACCTCAGAAGAGATTTTACAGATGAAGAAAGTCACAGATCTCATTCACAGTGCCAAAAAGCAAACCAAGTATCAGATAAAGGTCATTCTCCATTTGGTTTTTGAAAGAGACAAACACCTGATGTGTACCCTTTATGCACTTAATGTTGTTAAATTGTTCTGGAAGAAATAATTCTGGCAGCATTCCTGGGAAGAGCAGCACCAGGAAGATAAATTCCTGCTCAGTGCTCTGCACTGACTTTGTCAGGAATACCAATCCCATGGAAATTACCAGGGTTATGGATTGCTGTTCACAGGATACCTGGGTGAAAAGAAGCACACCTCACAGAGTGTGGGTTCTCAGAGCCACACCAACCTCCAAAACCTTTGATCAGAGCAGGACTTGTGCAGCCACACTAAAACTACCAACATTCCTACAATCAGAACTGTACTTGCTCCACTGCTGCCACCAACACTTGCTGAAAGACAAAAATCCCACCTCAAAAACCTGTTCTTGAGCAAACCACAAGAACTGTTTCTTTCCAAGGCCAGGACAGGATTTTTAAAGACGTGTCTAGTTTGATAGACACATCCAAAAGGAAACAGTACCTTTAAGGTTCTAGTTGGGGCCCAGCCAGTGCCATCAATTGAGTGTTCTCTCAATAAACTGCAAAAAAAAAAGACACACATATTATACAGAGCAACTTCTGCTTAAAATGCCTTTGTCAGAAACCTTCTCAGAAAACATTAGGAAGTAATTGCAAGATAAGATCTAATTCTTGCACTATTTATATCCAGGTAATGGAATTTTAAACCCCAGGAGTTGGGATGTCTGCCTAAAATTACCTTCTACATACTGTCATTACAGAACTCCCCATCTGAGCTCAACCTCTGTCAAAACACCTGAATTATCTTCCTCCAGCAGCAGACAGTGACAGAAACCCTTGTGACAGGCTCAACATTGAACTCTTTTTTTATTCCCTGATGCACTTTAGAACATGTTAATCTCTGATGAAGAGACAGCATTGCAGGATGACCCATCTCTCACCAAAACTGGCACAAACCAATGCAAAAAAAGGATGTTTTGGGGAGGGATGTTAGCAAAGAGAGGAACATCATCTATTCTGTGAAAGGACTTCAGCTTCCTATAGGTAAAGGTAAGTAAGTGGAAGAGTTTTAGTCTGTCTGCTCCAGAGGAAAAACTTCCTTATAAAATATAACCTGAATTTTAATATGAATATTAATATACAAAATACAAAATCTCCTATATGCACACATCCAGTAGAAAAATTCTATATGACCAGTGTATTATGGTATATATTGAGCCCAGTGAAGCTGCTGACCTATTAGCAAGTAGAAACCCTTGAGGAGTTCAGGCATTTCTGGACCTTTCAGATCCAACTTCAGAAGTTATAAGAAGGAGATACACTGGGGATCAGAGCACAGCTGAGAAATAAACTGAAGTCCTGCTCAGAAAATGAATGAAAATGTCTAAATAACTCCTTGAACCATCATTTCATAATCACACCTTCCTCTGTAAGGAGTAATTTAAAACTGACAATTCACACAACAAAGCACAAAAATTCACCAGCAGCAGCTTCTGCTACTGAAACGACAGGGTTAAAGTGAAATAGTCTTAAACTATTAGGTTTTAGCAATTTCCAGGGTGACATGTAGTAAATCTTTAAATTACAGTAGATGACTAAACCATACAGGTTATGTAGTTATTTAATGAACTTGTCAAGCTTTTATCCAAGGAAATTCAGTCCTTGTTCAGTGCAGAGATCCTAGGAACAGAATAATCAACCTGGACAGGCCCATTCCACCTTAACTGTGCTGCTCATCTCATTTCTGTGCTTTTAAAAAGATAAAATATACCATTACCACTTGTGCAACATTAAAAATAATACCTTGTGGCTGCAGTTTGTGTCCATATGTGACAAAAGCAAAAGCAAAGAAAGCTTGCTTTTTGTCTGTTCCTTATCAAGCTGTATGACAGTACTTCCATTTGCCTCTCCATACGCCTCACTGTGAAATTCCAAGTGAGGAGGAAGTTAACACACAAACTGAAATGATAAAAATATTCAGTGACAGAACACCTGAGCATGAGCTAAGCCTCATGAACAGCTCTGCAGCTTCTCAATGCCTCAGAGATCTCCTGGCACATCTCCAGCTGGGGATACCATGGCCAGGACTGAAGAGGTACTTTTACCTCTCAGAGTACTCAGGCAGGAAAGCAGGGAAGACACAAGTGTCCCTTTGGCTTAATACTCCTCATTTGCTGATAGAATTTGTTTCACCTTTCTTCCACAGACTGGGAATGATCATTAAGCTCCTGAACAGAACCTTTGCCCAGATAAGGAGACCTCCCCAGCCTATGATTACAAATCCTTGTATCTGGGCTCCTATGGGCAGACTGCTTTTCAACTTTTAGTAACCAAAACAGCCACTGATGTGACCAGTCAGCTGCTCAGCTTCCAGTTCAACAAATATCTTATTCTGTGAGTAATTCCTGCATGGAAGAAAGCTTTGAGGATATTTTTTTTTTTTTTAATTCACACATCCTAAAGAGATCTTTCAAAAAACATCTCCTGAAGTGTGAATTGCATGATTCCAGTAAGTGTAAAACTTTCTGAAACTCCAACTGACCCAATCTGCAGCTTAAGTGACTACTATTTACTGTAGGGACTGAAGATCAGTCCTGGAATAACCTCCATGTTTTCTATCCACATGTGCAGTAGAGGTGATATCCAGACCTAATTAGCATCCATCATTAATAATATGGTCCAGGGTAACTGCAGTCCATAAAGCACAGAAAAGCCCCACTTTTCCTGCCCCCTGACCACAGCTTTAACCATTTAGAATGTTTTAATCCAGGGATGATTATCAAACCAACACACACCACAGCACCAGGTATGTGGGGGGCAAACCATTGATGAAGATGTTTTTTCTGCTTTTAAAAATAACTGAAGATATTTTAATGCAAAGACTCTTGGGTAAGTTGATTGCAGACACTATACATAGAATGCATTTTCTAACAGGCATAAAGCAATTAAGTTATTTTAGTTTTTCCATCTAATGCCAGACATTTCCAAGGTCTGTATGTTAAGGCACCTGACAATCCAAACTGCTTCAGTGTGGATGCTGAAAAAATGCCTTCACTTCATTAGAATTATGATGCTCCAAACACCACATTCATCTCTTATAATTAAAACCATTTAAAGAGATGGAAAAGTTGTGGCTGTCCCATCCCTGGAAGTGCTCCAGGCCAGGCTGGATGGGTCTTGGAGCAAACCTGTCTAGTGGAAGTTGTCCCTGTCCAAGGCAGGGCGTGGAATGGGATGAGCTTTAAGGTCCCTTCCAAACCCAACCACTCTGGGATTTGATGAATGTGAGGCTTTATTGAACCTCAGAAGATGCTGTGCTGAAGCTGGAGCTTCAGCTTTGGTTTGGTGCCTGCTATTTGTTGCTCCCTGGTTCAAACACTTGACTTGCCTAGGAAGGGCAATTAAAAACTTCATTTTCACCAGGACTTTCAACACAGCACAAAAATGATTTTCCATCTAGAGGAGAAAATCAGCTTCTCTTTGAGCACTGTTTTGCTACACATAGTGACAACCATGCTGGATTTTCAGAACAGCTTTCAATCTCACTTATGGGCTTTGCTTCTGCTTCATCTGCTTTTTCTTCTGTGTGCCATTAACTTGAAAACTGACAGGCAGGCTTCTCACTTCTGTTTCTGTTTGGTTTCTGGCCAATTTCACCATCAGGTATTGAGGATGACATTGCAAAGTTCCACAAATTCATTTGGAAGAGGAAACATTTACTATCAAGGAAAACCACCCAGCAACAGAAGCCTCTCACTCTGGCAAGTCAGGATATGGTTTCATATCCTGAATTGACCCCAACCCTGCTTTGTTATAACTGGCTCATGTGTCTTATCAGTGGCTACTAAATATTATAATTAACAAATGGCAAACAAAGAATAATTACTGTCAAAGTTTAACAAATACTTCTTTCCCTCCTTTTTGAAGTATAAAGGATTTTCAAGCTCTTAACACACTTGGGCATTAAATGGTAAAGCCTCAAAACCTCCTTCTGGGCCTGAGGATGATTCATTTATGAGAGAAGGAAGAAATAACCCAACTACATTTTGATTAGGCTGGAGTTTATATTTTTACCCCAAGTAGAACAAAATACTAAGTCTGAACCTGAAAAGTCAGGCTCTACATGGTCCCTACAGCACAGCAAGAATGAAGCTTCCAGTAGATTTTTATGTTCCTAAAAGCTACATGCAGAATCAGCAGAAAAAATACTGTCACAACAGTTACATCCAGTATTTTATAAAACAGAGAAACCTCCAAGGTTAAAAAAACTCTAACATAATGTTGTTCCTACCTTAGGCAGATTTCTCCTGTCTCTGTAATGTTTGGGTGCCAGATTCTTGTCAAACATTTTACCTTTGGAGGCTGCCAGGAGAGAAAACAAATTACTGTGTTATCTTTAAGACAGAACCCTGTTATAACTCATAAAACAGAAAAAGGCAAGTATATTTGATATTCACAGCCTGGGTTGTATGTTTAGGGTAACAATAGATAACCTAAAGAGTCAAACCAGGTTTCCCTGTCCTTTTAACTTTTCTCAACTCTTCATAAAAACCAGGTTGGTATTAGGCTTTTCCTTTGGAAAAAAGAACTTTAAAGAAAGCCAAGAAAATTTACTCCTTCAGAGAAAAGAAAACACCCATAGTCATTCAGTTTCCTCATACTTAACTATTAGGACAATCATTTAAACCATAAAAACTTCACCCTTCACCAAGGCTTGTCCAAATCAGGGATTCGTTAAAGAACAGCAGAGGACACAAAGGTAACAACTACACCAAATAAATAACTTCTTTTAAATACAGACCCTCCTGCTCACAACTGAAAATGAAAGCATCAGAGCTGAATTTGAGACACTAAAATGAAAAGCCACAGGCAAGATCACCAAATTTCTGAATTTCATAGTAGTGTTCTGAAATACAGATTTTTGAAGTACAATCTCCTTTGCTCTAGTTTTGTGAAGTAAATAAAGAGTGAGACATAAAAATTTCAGTAGCTTAGCAACAGCACGTTGTTCCATCCCTGCTCTCCCCATTAGGACTTGCAGCTTTCAATCAGGCAGATTATTTCTGATAGGAAGTGTCCTGGAATCCATCAGCACACACCAGCACCTTGCAAAACTTCAATTAAACCACATATTATAAATGTGGAGCCATCTCCCTCCACTTTTTCCAATGTTGTCTTCAATCAAGAGGCAAAACAACTCAAAGAGCTTTATTTGCATGACAGCTTCATGTGTTTTGTCTCATTTTGTTCCCAACTTCCCATTACCTTTTTAAGAAAATTTTTTAATTAACACTCCTTGGAAAAGGTAAGAAAATATGCATGGCACTGAGACACCAAAAACATACCTAAAAGAGATGTTCCAGAACAAAAACACTGACCACCACAACAAATCTGGGATTGGTAATGCAGGTTTTGCCCTTCCTCCACTTTATTTCTGTGCAGTAATTAAAGGGACATCAGTCATGGCATTATTGAAAATTAAGTGGCTCACAGTCCAGGGGTTTTTGACCTCCAAAATACCTTAGAAGTTTTTTAACAGCACAAGCTTTTCATTAGCTACACTTTCACACTGTTTTGAAAGATGATGTCTAGTTCTCAAGCTAGGGAAAGCAGCAGAATTTATTCCATGCCATTAGATCAAGATAAAAGAGGAAATTTCTACCATATGCACCTTCAAAAAAGGAATGTATTGATGAGTCTAAAAAACACTTTATAGGAACTCCTTTAAAACAAAATCTCCAAATCCTCACAGTGAATTAACTGGTGCCTCATTTTTCATACTGTGGAAACAAAAGAATTCCTTTAGCCTTTCAAAGTAATTTTCATTGCTAAAAGTTAGAAAAACCCACTCCTGACAGTAAGACAAAGGTGTTTCTCTCTCTCCTTTTTTTCATTTAGACATACAGGACAACTGCAGCACTACCATAAAATCTATCTTCAGACAAAACTTCTCCTTGCAACTTGTTCCAAGTCATTTCTGAACCTTCCCCAGGCTAACAAAAGTGAAGATTTCCTCAGGGTGATGTTTCATCTGAACACCTGTGACACTGTACAACAAAGCTCCCAAAATCCATTTATTTCCTTGCTCAAACTCCTCCTTCCCCTCAGACACCGCCAGCAGCACGCACAGGTAGATCCAGCCTCAGCTGTGACCACATTCACTTCCTTCTCCATTTCCAAGCAGCCACCTCTGCTCTGGGATCCCTCATTTAAAATTAAGTTTCAGTTCTTAATAAATTTGCACTCTAAAAGGACAGGTGTACCAACAGATCTTACAGTTTTTTTAAAATTATGCATTATTTCTGTATGTAATTTGATCAGCATTCTGTAGCTGTAACTCTTCACTAGTGAAGAAATTTACCTGGAGAAGGGATGTGGCTCCTGAGAGAAATCTGGAATCAATGTTATTTGATATGTTTTCTCTAGACACCAGCTAGTCCCGAAGCGTTCTGCTAAATCACCCTGCAACTGCAATTCCAGATTTTCTTACAGTTTGTAAAAAACATAACTCCCCCAGGAGGCCCTAATAGGGATACAAGTTCCTGGGGGTGAAATAATGTCCAGCCCTGAGATATTTCTTACCACTTTCCACCACCAGTTTCTGAAGAACTTTGAGACTGGCTGAAAGTGAACACTACACAGAGTGAAGCACAGAGTACAAAATTTTCCAAATTTTTCCTCTTTATTTATTTTCTGCTCTTCCACTACATCACAATTCCACATATCCACTCCTTTTGCCGTGCAGAGGTGTGATATCCCAACCTTGCCTGCAGGCTGAAAGCCCTGGCAAGTGTGCAGAGCTCTCCTGAAAACAGGCATCACTTGTTTCAGTCCATCCTGCCTGGCAGGAGACAAACCACAGCCTCAGCATAACTCAATACTGGGGAGCACACGTTTGAGTTAATAACCTGACCCAAACCAAACATTCAACCTCCTGCAGTTTTCCAAAGCATTTTATTTTTGTATTGCATGAGAGGTGTTCAAATTTAAAAATATTTTATTAACATTTGCTGTAGATTTTCCTGCCAGTGCTGGACAGGGAACAATAACAAACTAGAGACTAAAAAGTCTATGAGAACTGAGAATCAAAAAAATCAGCTCAAAATTGAACTTGAGCTCTCCAGTTAATGCACAGCAAGCACTTTCCTGCAGCAGTGTTAGGTGAGCAACTAGAGTACAAAAATTACAGGAAATAAAATAAATACAAAAAAGTTAGTAAGGGTGACCTCTTGTCATAGTATGAAATTCTTTGGTAAAGTTAAGGGGAACTTAAAACATCCCACAACCAAACCCACACAACTGCAAACACTACCTAGTTGTGACTGCAACTGCTACACACAGATAATGCTGAATTTAGGCTCAGCACAGCTGAGCAGGAACCAAAGATCCTCTCTGAAACTCTTCCCCAGGATCCTCCCCTACACATTCTTCAGCCTCTCTGAAAGGACTCTCAACTACCAGCACCAAAAGTGAGACAACAAAGCAAAAGAATGGAGGGGGGGAGGGAAATTACAGAACTGTCAACTTTTTCCTTTGGTTCATTTATTTCATTCTTAGATATATAACTTTTTAATGAGAATAATCATTAAATGCAGGTCTCATGAATAACTAACAGGAAAGAGCAGAATCTGAGCCAGAAGGGAGGACACTCAGGTCTGACTCATCTGCACTTCCAAGAGCTTCTCCCAGACAGTTGCAGGGACTTATTTTATTAAAAGACAGATGATCTTTTCTCAGTCCCAATGCCAAGTTCCCCCTGAAGTCCTGTTACCTGCAAAGAAAATCTAAAATGACAACTATGATACTAAAGACAAATACTCACCACCATATTGTAGGCATCAGGAACTTCAGTTTCAAACTGAAACTTTCCCCCTTGGTAATAGCCCTCATCTAGAAAAGAGAAAACAAGGAAAATAGTTAAATAAGAGAAAAGCACCAAGATTAAAACAACAGCACAGGGTTATCATCAGATAGTGGTTGCACCACCAGCTGCCACCTAATCCAAGGAGTGTGTGAGCATTGTGTCATTCTGCACTCCCAACATTTTTACAGCAGAAATTCAGAGTCAGGAAAGCCAATAGTCCATGAAATATCCTCCATTCTGATCACAGGAACAGGGGTGCTATCCTAGAGGAACCCTGGACTGAATTTCTCGCTGTAGGAAGAAAATCCTGGCACTTGGCAGACAGTACAACATTAGTGACCCTTGGAATGAGCTGGAGAAATCCTCCACTTGCTAATGCATTGCTAAATCCTGCTCCAGGGCTGAGCACATCCTCCTAAACTTGTGCTGGCACTCATGGTGAGGAGTATGACTGATGTCTGCAAGAGCATTGTTTCAGAGTGTACTTCAATAAGATCAAGCAGGCTCTTTCATTGTAATTATCTTAATATGATGTATCAGCTAGGAAAACATGTCTGCTTCTCTGCCAACCTCAGTACTGAATTATTAAAATGGCTAAATTTTCCAATATGACATATTAAAATATCTACTTACATTTAACCAGGGCTAATGGAATGGGATGACAGTCAGCCTGCAACTCTTGAAATATCTGTGCTTGGAAGCTGAAATGCTTGCAAGTGATCTGAAATGCATCTGGCATTGCTATTTCTGAGGTTTCTCATTAAAAAAAGGGAAACAGGTATCCAGCCCACATTGGAGGTTTGAGACAGATCTGAGGGATGCTCTGGCTTAAACCACCTTGAGCACTCCAGCCCCACTGAAGGCCAGGAGGGCTGATTAGCACTATATGATGCAGGTTTTTTAGCTTTCTTAAACCAACACTGCAAAGAAATGTTCCATGAAATAATCCATAGTTTACAGAAAAACTAATTTTTTTATTATCTAGCTTGTTCCAAATGACAAAAAAAAACCAAAAAACAGCTTGTCTACTGTAGGTTATCAAAATCCTCTTTCAGGTTGCTGTCTCCTGATCTTTTCAAATCCATTCTCTGTTCCCACTCCAATTCAATTCTGAAGTCTGCTGGATTTATTAAGCAATTTCTGAAGTCTGCTGGATTTATTAAGCAATTTTAGGCCTGCTATGCTTTACCAGAAATTAAAGAGACATGCACTGATTTTTATAGGAAAAAAGATAAAAGCATTTCTCTTTTGTTTTTAAATATACAGAGCTAAAAACCAGTAAAGCAAGCCATTACTGAAGAACAAGAAGTAAGAGGTGAGTTACACTCATACCCTTTGATAAAACTGTTACCTGTCAGATGTGCAATACACTCAGAGTGAGACACTGTTCCAGAAAGGAATTATTGGGAAAACAGTCCAGTATCCCCCAGGAGCTCTAACACCACATTTATCCAAGAGAACACAGACAGCTGACTGCACTTTATCCACCATCCAGCACTATAATACATTTTAACCAAGTGTCAGGAATTATCACATTTCCAAGTACAAAAGTTATTTTCCTTGGCTTAAGTTCATTAGTTCCCTGATTTGCTGGATTTGGGAGCAAAGCATGCAGCAGCTCTTCACATTCCACCCCTGCTAAAATTAAATAAATGCCTCCTGATGGATGTATCCACATGTGTCTTACATCAAAGAAAATCCTCAGGTTTAATGAACACTCACTGAAATGGCTGTCCACCAGAAACACTCAAGAACTTTCAGATCAAGCCTTCCTCCAGGACAATTTAATATTCATCACTGCCTTCAAATTACAGCTCATTTTATATTTTGGTTTTACCTTGACAGCAATCACTAATCACACTAACACTAATCAAAAACCACACTGGGTAAGCTCCTGGCTCTGCTGTCAAATAAGCAAGGATATTATTTTACACAGTTATGAGAGCAAAACATCTCCCCTCTTTTAAACAATTCTTCCTCTAGGTTTGTAAAGCAACAATAAAGCTACTCATTACCAATCACCCAAATACATATTAAAAATTCTGGAGAACCTCAGTATTCAGGCCAGAAATCTTGCACTGCATTAACAAGATAACCCTTCACAATTAAATCATCTTTCAGCATCTCAAGTAAATAGGTTCTCAGACTGGGAGAGAAATCCTCAATTTTTTTAGGCATGTGAAAGTGGTGGGAAAAAAGTTCTGGCAGAGTTAACAGTGAGGAAAGAACTATAAATAAACCCATCAAATGAAACAGCCTTAACACAGTTAAAGTTGGCCACAGAGGCTTTTGCTAAAAAGGGAGAATGTCTGAGCCACTGTTTTCCTCCTACTGCTTAAATTTATGTCTTCAAGCTGTATTAGCAGAGCAAGCATCCCTCCCACTTCAGTCTCAAGTTTCATTACCAACAACCTGACTAATCTTAGCTTGCGTTTGTAGGGTGTTTTAATGCCTGAAAGTGCTTTGGAAAACACTTAACCAAATTATTTCCTCACTTTAGAAGAAAATGCAAGATAATTAGGGCAGGCCACAAAGGATGCACTCTGGATAGTAGCTCCCTGAATCAGCCATGCTCAGCCATGCTCACCAATATTTGTGAGCATTTCACCAGAAAACAGGGTATTTATTAAACCCCTTAGTGTGGCACTCAAATATCCACACCAACCCCAGACTTGTCCAACAGCCTGAGAACTGCAGGGAAATTGCATTTACTGCACTTACTTTTTTGGGTTTTTTCAAGTATAAGCTACCTAAAGTTACCTCCTTTATTTTTTTTCCAGGTCACTACCATGTTTTAGTCCTTCCTCAGCTTCCAATTTTGTGCTCCAAATACCAGTGCAGCAAGCCTGGATTCTAAGCATCCATCGCCTTATTTTCCCTAGATTTTAATCCAATATGATACTGGTGCAAAAATAAGAACAGAGGCAAGCGGTGGCACAAGGGTATTTTTCAAAGGCAGAACAACTGTTTCAAAGACAAAAGCGAAGAGAAGCTTCAGACAGCAGAGAAAACCAGCAGTGCCTGCCTTGGGGACACAGAGTTTTGCCTGCTACAGCAGAAAAATACAAATCTTAGCCATTTTCTAGCATGTGCTGCTAAATATTCACTGAGGGTGCACTGCAGAAAGCTGGAACATACAGGGATTGGAATTTCTTCCATTATGTGAAAAAAAGCAGCCACCCTTATCAAGGTCTTCTGAAAAATCATTTTAAATGAAAAACTTCCTGTGACCAGGAAAATTTTGTGATATTAAATACTGGCTGAGAAAGATTTTTTTATGAGAGGTGCTGAGCAAGGGATCTGAAATGATTTCTGCTCGGTGGTCAAGTTTATTTTCTTATTCAAATTAGTCTATATGTGAAAGCCTAAGGAAGCTTCTTTTACTGTCCTTTCAAGACCAGCCACATTCAAAATGACTGCATAGAACAAAGTCAAGATTCATGCAAATACTGTTCAGACAATACAAAAAAAGTTGGCTCAAACTTGCTTGAGCCACAAAATTTCTGTGACAACCACTCTGCTGCCTCAAGGAAAACTAAGAAAACTTCAATATTTAAGAGAGACAGAAAATTACAAAGACTTTCTTGGTTTGTGCTGTTTTCTGCCTTTAAAACACTAAGCTATAGCTAATCACAAGATTCTACACCTGTAGAATGCACAGCTGAAAATAGATGTTTACTTGGGTCAGGCTGCAACTGCAGAGACTTCAGCTGTGCAGCTATATTTAGAGTAACAAAATGTTAATTAAGATCATCTCATTGGCAAGATCATTTCAGCAACGAAGCTGGCACAAAACCCATGCTCTGCATTCAACAGCTGGTTTCTGCCTGCAGCATCCTGCTGCACAGCAGCCAACACACAAAACAGTTCCTAGGATTTAAACACCTTGGAGTTAGGACAGCTTTTTCATACATTACTCATTTGTACAGTGATGCTCTTCTAAAGTCAACTCCTTTCCAAAATACAATTAAGTGGCATCATGTAAAGTGAAGGGCATTTGGTGCAAGCAGAATTAACACCAACCAAATAAATATGAGCGCAACTCCTACACAGGATAACAGGGCCAAGGTTCCAAATTAGCTCTTGCATCTATTTTTAATTGCACTGACAAGGGCAGCCTCACTCCTTTTGCCATCACAAAAGCGAGCCACATGAACAGACATGTTAACAGAGACCACCCAAAATTTCTGCTGAAGGAAGAGCCAATAAACAGCAACAGTGACACCTAGCGCTGCTCTGGCTTCAAAGTGCTGGATTACAGAAACATTCCAGGCTCTCCATTAAGTGCACACCACTGTTTCTCCAGGTTACACACCAGGATGACTGACACACCTCACCCAAATTCTGCTGCCAGAAAGCATCTACAGAAAATGGGCACCCACAGGAATGAGCTGGCAGGGGGCACTGAGCCCAGCACATCCAACTTAAACCACTCAGTGCACTGCACACAGCAATGTTCTCATTTAAGCAGCTGCACAGTCTCAAACACAAGAAGTATGTGACAAGTTTAAATAAACTTCCATGCAAATTCATCCATAAAACACAACCTCCTATTCTAAAATGCACAAAAACCACTAATTTCAGGTGGTTATTAAGAAACTTACAGGGAAATGATAATTTATGAAAATGCTTTTACTCACCAGCCTGCCAGCAAGAGCTTCACAGGATACTCAAGTTGTGTTAATAATAAAAAAAATGTGATTTCACATATTTGAACAATAAGACTCAGAGATTCCTCCTTGCTAAGCATCTTCAGACATGCCTAGGATTGAAGTTTTCCAGCAGTGTTATACTGGCAACCTCTCTTTACACCTCTGCAGAACCAAGCAACCAGTACAAGGGAACACACAACCTAACAGGGCTGTAATGCAAAAATAAATCAAGGTGGTTTGAAACTGGCTGACAGGAAAAAAGTTCTCACAGTAAGCAAACAAGTATTTCCTAACCCTACTCATTTTTGAAGGCCTTTTTACTGGAATCTGGTTGTCAAAACTCAGCCCAGTTTCTTCATCCCATTAATAAAATAGTAACTATAGTAGCCAGACTTTCTGTGACTCGAGGCTTTATTGGAATTCCTCTTGGAATTATGTTTCCTAAACTCCAACACACACAGAGCAACAAAAGTAACATATTGAAAAAAATTACCTGGGGTTACAGTTAGTTGAAAGTAATGGAGCTTGTTTGGGTCAGGAAAATTCACTTTACATGTACCTGTGAAGCAAAAGAATAATTTACATCAGAAATGAGATCTCCACTGTTGGCTGGCATGAAGAGGCAAGTCTGTCATGGGTATTTTATCACTCATATTATGCAGTCTTTAGCTTCTTAGCCCATCAAGCCAGCTGTTCCTTTTCTGTAGCCAAGGAGCTAAATAGTATCATAGTTATAAATCCTATTTGCCTGAAAAAAACTACCTAGAACTGTGCACAAACCCTTGTAATGAAACCACACATTCTTCAGGTATTTTTACCCTATAAAAGAACCTACACTGAAAAAATTTAACTAAAATTACTCTGTGTAAATGCTCAATAACTGCCCTTAAAGATGGCTTATAGCTCAAGTCAGATTCCAGGTCTAAAACCATATTATCTTGCCTTGTTTTTTTTTTTAATTTGGTGTCTTTTATTTGTTTGGCTTTTTTTAGGGAATATGGATCATTCTTAAAAAATTAGTTTTCTTGAGTATTTTCACTATTAACAAAGATATCAGGTTATATCCTGAAGTGAAAAAACTGCAGGTTGACTTCATATTCCCTAAAAGCTGAGCTATTTCCTCTGCCCCCAAAATCAGAATCACCTGTTTCAAAAATGAGGGAATAAAGAAAAAACCAGGAGTGAGGCACTGATAGCACCCTTGAGCCCCAGGAACTTTTTGGGCTCTTTGTGAAAGCTTTGCTGCCACTCCCCAGCAACCAAAAACTAGAAGCAAATTATCAACACTCCTTCCAAAGGACAGTAATGAGGGTCCAGTTCTCCACAGCCCCTTAATGGGAAGCAACAGAGAAAATCTGTTCAAGCCAGAGTGGAGGAGCTTTGCACAGCTTTCCCTGAGTTAACAAATACCATTAGCATTCATACTTTAATCAAAATTTTCACTTCAATGGTCCTTTCCCCTTTAAAATGCATACTTTTAAATGTTATACTCACAAGGTAAATTAGCTTCAAGGTCTGCAACCTCTGTTGAAAGAAAAAAAACAAAACAAAAGCATTATTTATATAAGGTTAAAGCCCTTCTTCAAGTCCAAACTGGCAGATCTAATTTAAACCACCCAATAAATCCAATTTTACTTAAAAATATAATTAGGCTGCAGTGGAAGTTTACCTTGAAATTTCTCTTTTAAGCCACTCAATTCATTACTAAAAATGCTCATCTGCCCTACAGACATTGCAAATTGATCTTCCTTTGATGGGGAGTTCAGCTCTGCCGAGACTGAAGCGCAGGGGCTGCTACCACACACAGCAGTGGCATTTCCAAAGCACAGGTTTTGTTACTGATACACACTCCAATTAAATTAAATTTTCCTTTTCTTTACTTCCTGAGTTAAAATTCATAAAAGCAAGGAAGTATCTTTATTCTATTCCACAGGCCCCAGGAAATGAAGAGTATTCCTAAGCCTGTCAAGTCACCTTCCCTGGAAGAATCCCTGTTTTTGTGTATTTTATTGAAGTCTTACTTTCAATTACATATGAATGAGATGCATCAAGTTGTCTCCCCCCCTTTACTTCTAAAGTCCTAGAAAATCAAATTGAGTATATTTTTGGCTTTTCCTGTGGTCTTATTTTCCACTTTAACTGTTTTCAGGCCTCCACAGACAGCTCATTTATTTGGGCTGGCAATGCACAAGAGATTTCAGTACCAGCTCTGAAAAGCACACATCTGAAGAAACCTGTCATTCAGAATTCTTGGTACTGAACCCAAACTGAACTCATCACAACTCTCCAGAACTTCTCCTGCCATCCATGCTTATCAAACCTGGCATTTCTCTGCAGTGGGAATGATGATTATTTGACTCCCTCCTCCCTGGTGCTTGGCACACCATGCATCTGCAGCCTACTACACCAAGAGAAAAAAACACCAAAACAGAAGCATTGTGCTTCAGACTTACTGAAAAATTCACAACTTCACTCTTTTAAAATCCCACACTTGCAGCCAGAGCTGATTTAACCAAAGCCATGCAGCAAAAGACAACAGTGGAGCCATACTTTTGCTCAAGTATTGTCTTTATAAAAAACACAAACACAAAATGTAATTTCAGCTGTAATCAAGTACTTTATTTCAATTTTTCCTTCCTGGTTGATAAAAAAAGATGTGAAACCAACTACTAAAGGCTGCAGCTATGAAAACTTTTTGTAAGATTACTCCCTCACTCCTTTCTTTGAATTCACCACCCTTTCATAGTGGGAGGCACATCAATCTTCACTACAGTGCAAGTTCAGGACATCAATCTTCACTACAGTGCAAGTTCAGGACATGGTTCAATTATTTTAAGGTGTTGACCGCTTTCCTTTATTGCTTTCTGTGCTTGTGTGATGTGCAGTTTAATGAATCCTGCCTGCCCTTTCCCTGATCCCAAAAATGGGAGACATTTAAGGGCAGAGCAGTTCTGCTGAGCCAGGGCTTAACTTCTGCCTCCTGCAAGGTTCAGGAGGGAGTTTACAATCACCAGAGTCCTTCTAAGCGTGAAAATTCCCTGTAATGTGTTCACACTTCTGGGTCTCTCTCTGTCTTGGCACAAGAATGAGTATTTTTTTCTTGTTAAAACATGAAAACAAAATGCTCACACCCTGGAGAAGGGAGCACTGTGCTCCTTCTCTGAAGGTGTACAAACAGGTGGGAATGCTGTGCTAATAAATCCACACAAAAGTTTTGGAAACAAAATGGCCCAAATTTGAGGTTCCTAATGAACTCTGCAATAAACCACTGAAACTAAGAATGAAACAACTTCATGAAGACAAAGCAGATAAAGATCTGCCATCAATAATCTAAATGTTTAAAGCACCATCAAGTAAGTCAACAGATGTTACTATTAATTGTGCAATATGAACAAACACTGCTGATTCACCAATTACAAAGCATATTTAACAGGCCAAAGCTCAGTGTTTGAGTGTCTTCCAAATTCTGTGTCTCTTTGGTAGTGACAACATTGACATTAGAACCATTTTTGTATGCTGCTGCTCAGAAAGCAAACATTTTGACCAGAGTATTCAAGCTCCATTAAGATTCTGATGTTTTAACTTACACATTTTCTGCATAAACCAATACCTCAGTGTGAATATTCTCTGTAAGGAAACGCCCCTTGTGCAGGCTGCCAACTTATTTTACAGACATTTGTAAACAAGCAAAGCACAGAAGTGACAAAGCTCCAATGCACTCAACTTCCAAGAGCTCCAAAATTAAAGAACTCACAAAATTAAAGAACTAACTTAGTTTTTTTATGAGCTCCTCTTTTTAAGGAATGACTGCCACTACAGCTGAACAGTGAAGAAAATTCAGTTTGACTACTTTTCATGGTCATTTTGCGGAGAATTTGCATCTGTGTCTCAATTCACACCATTAAGATGATGAGACAACCAGAAAATCCAAGTGTCAGGAAACTCCAAATAGTCCATCTGGTGTTCCCAAAACCTTGTGTGACCTGGTGCAGGAGCAGCCCAAGTGGAGGTGCACTTGCAGAATCCTGCTCTTGACCTGGTACACACTTGCTTGAACAGTTCCAAATGCTATTTTAAACCATAAAAAAAGTGAGGCTTAAACTTAAACCCAACATAAACACTGGAAGAGTTGAATGCAAATGAATTATGTCTCAGCTTTTCTCTCTCCTATACAGTTCCTGAGCTGCTTCTAAGCCTAACACAAGCAGCCAGAGTTATTTATTCCACAAAAGATTTCACAAACAATAACTCTCCCTACCCATGACAGTTCTCCAGACAGAAATAGGAACACTCCTGCTGTGTGTACAAGGTTTATGAATGTTCTGTGCACACACCACAACCTCATTGCTCTGCTCCCTCATCTCCCCAAATCAGAATTTATCAGTGCTTTGTTTACTAAGTCTTCCACAAAAATCAGGCTCCATGCTTCCTGCTGGAGTTTGGTTTTAAGTACACAAAAAAAAAAAAAAAAGCATTATTTTCTCAAGTGAATATTCTTATCCATAGCAGTTATTACTTCACTCTGGTTTTGTTCAAAAAGCCCCCCTCTCCTGTTTAGGTCCCTCTTTAATTTACTTCTTTAAGACTTCTAGATAAGAAGGTTAAATACCTTGACACTAATAAAAATCCCATTTTCTATGTACTAATTCTAATATTCTGTTAATTCTGGAAATGCTGTTTGCCTCCTAATTCTCATCCATCTATCTTTATAGCATTCCCTACTTAGTTGTACAGACCAGTGCAAGAAAAAAAAAGTATTTTCTCCCCCTCAAGTTTCCTTCCCTGTTTTTGTGAGGAGGGATATTACTATTTTTGAAGGCTAGAAGAAAGCAAATAAATGGCTCCCCTCCTTTTTAGTTACAATGGATATTCACCTCATTTTCATCATCAGTTTCCCACTTCCATTCTCTCAGGCTTATACAGAGGCACACAAAAAATATTTTCTGGTTCAACAAAAATACAGTTGTAAAAGCCACAGATATTGAAAACAACCCAGGAATAAACCTTGTTAACTCATTTTCATATACACTGTTATTCCAAGTTGCCACAATCAAACCAAGCAGTAGTAGTAATTTAAAGCTGAATGATGAAGTTTCTGCGCACTACCAAAAATGCAGCATAAGGGACAGCCTTTGTGATCCATGAGCTGCTACTGCCACCCTGGAATGCTTTCTATCTTCAATTCAATTTAGCAGTCACCTTCATTATACAATATTAATCTCAAACACCACTTTGGTTTGTCCTCAGCCCTTTTTAAATTTCAGAAAGGATCTGCCTTTCAAGTTCAGCACTGCATGCTTGCCATCCTGGAGGAACAGTCATGCTGCCCCTGCTCCCAGCTTAATGAAGTTCCCCTTAGAGATGAACAGAATATTAAAAACTGCCTCTGCAGCACGGAACAAAATGAAAGCTGCTGAAGCAATTGTACTGCTTGCTCTATTTTAATTTGGGTACTAGGCCTACAGGATTAGGGCCCTACTCTCCAACTGAGCCTAGAGAGAAATGCAGTGAAAACAGATGTACAGATGAGTCACACACCATTTTGAACAAAGCTGTGCTTCACTAGACCCTCTCTACAGCTGGAAGAGAAAGATCCAAGTGACTCAGAACTACCTCCCTACATATAAAACTTTAGGGATAGAAAGATTTCCATTCATAATACATCCACAGAATAACCCAAGTGTCCTGAGACGTGACTGAAACCTGAATTCATCTGTAACAATGCTGGATATAAGCAGTCAAAAGAACAACTTAAGGAAAAACTAACAAAGGGCATCAGTATTTTAAGAGCAGCTTTTCCTCAAAAGTAGAACAAAGCCTGTTTAAAGTGCATCCATCAATGAAGTCAAGGTCAGTGCCTGACACCACTACTTCAAACACCAACTGAGATGTTTCCTCACACCCATAGAGCAAATAGCTACCATACCTAAATTAGCACTTGTTTTTCCCCCTTTCAGGCAGCACGCAGTTGGTTGGTCTACACCAAGTCTTTAAAAGTTTGTAAGCATCACCTGCACTTGTCAGTGGCTGGGGTGGTGGTCATTACTTCAATCAAAACAGCAGAGGACACAACACAGCTGAGGGCTGCAGGGGTATCAGTGTGACAACACATCCTTCAGAGATCCTCTACTGCCTTCCTGGACTGGACTCTCTATCTAGAGAAGATATCTCTATCTATCTTGTGTTTGTAACACAAACAAGACTGTCTGTAATTTACCTCCAGAAAAAAACCAGACACCGTCTGTGTCTGGACAATACCCTTAGCAAAGCTGGCAGACATCAGTCTGCAGGATTTATTAGACTATCCCCAATTTACTGTGGAGCAGGAATAGGACAGTGGTGCTTCACCACTGGCAGAACACTCTGAGCCTTTTTTCATCTCCTCTTCCTCCCTTGCTGATGGCCAGGATTTCTCCTTTTTTATGCAGGAGAGATTATTCTCTAATTTGTTGCCAAGACACTGAACTGGAGCCTTTCCCCAGTTCTGCCACTGTCATCTGTTTGTAACTCCAGCCAAAACATGCACCAGTAACAACTTCTACTTAAAACTCTTCTTCCAGGCTCCTGCTGACTTTGGATCCAGTACAACAGCCCAAGTTCAGCTATTACAGTTCCACACAAACAAGCAGTAAAAGCTCTAGCGCTGGTCCAGCTGCAGCAGCATCACTGCTGTGTGTGCACCTTTACCAGGCAGGTTTACACACCCGTTCAAACTCATTCCTGCAATCTTTACGTGACCTAGAAACACCATAAATGTCACAAGTTCACCTCCACTCAGCCTCACAACATCATAGATGCTGCTGCAGCTGATCTGTCTTAAAGTGTTGAAGCAAATTCTAGAAACTTCTGTAAACAAATGGTCTACATGAGCAGCTTAAAACAGAATATCCCAAACAATATAGTCTTTCCCACTATATTTCCCTCTCACTTTCAGCAGTGGCACTCGAATGATCTGCTTTTCCTGTCAGTTCCCACTGCACCCAGAAACCATCCTCAGCACACCGACAGCTGCTCCTGCAGCTCTTTTGGAAGAGCATCATGATTGTGGTGGTGCAGCCTCTCTCCCAAACTCTGGCCTGCTCTGCAATTTCAGCAGTTTCTATCAGGCCCTGGCCTTTGCACAAGAGCTCGGTGGTGAAACATTCCTGAACTATACCAGGAACTCCTGCTGCCTGGACAAGGTGGGAGATTGGAGCAGGAATCATCAGTCATTCCCTGATGGCTTTGAAACATTCCTTAGCTGAATTATATCCTGAGTGAAATGGTACCATTTTTACTTGAATTTCACAAAACTCTAGTAATCCCCAAAAAGGGATTAACAGGACTATTTCATGAATTCTGAGGGGGAATTTTTTAATATCTATTCCCATATACATACCTATCCATACATGTGCTACCTTTGCACATTTGTGTGTGTATCTATATGTCTATATGTATCTTTGAGTATGTGTGTGCATTGACTTGAACACACTGTAAAACACTATTATCTTCAATCTATATTATGTTTATAGCTGTTAATAATTAATGTAATATTTAAATGCTTTTGTCATTAAGTTCTGCTAAATCTTTTAGACATAACTGTTGAGTCCAAGCCTGAAACTGGGTCCAGCTGCACTGAGACTCCTCCCCCTAAGGAGTTTAGAAAGGATTTCACCCTGAACCTCCTGACTCATCCAAGTTTCCTTTGCCTTTTTCCCTTTTTTCATCACAGCCTCTGTATATATCACTCTAAATTGATTCTAATTTGATTTTCCTTTACATGTGTTATCCATGCAATAAGTAGTGTAAACCCTGCCAACAACCTTTGTTGTGCTTTTGCAAATTTTTATTAAGGCACATTTTCACCAAAGCCTTTGATGGTGACTCTTTAAGTGACCTACACCACTCATTTCACAGCAGGGATGCAACTTCCATGCACAATCAGATCAGGATCCAGCACTCAATGCTTGTCATAGCCATGTGATCACTGACCTGCTTTTAACTAGTTCAGTCTGGGACTTGTTCAATACTTGGTTTGAACTCAGTTTAAATATTCAGTTTTACTTATTTTTTTTTAAATACTTAGTTTTACTTAAAGAGCTGCTCTGCTATCACAGCCATAGCAATTACAATTACAATACTAATTTTCTATAAATTACATTCTCTTCCTCCCCTGCAGACTTAGGTATGGTTTTGAAAAACATGACTGCTCTCAGGGTAGAGTAAAATTTCTTTGGCACCTCACATGAAGGGTATTTATTTCACACTGCTGTCTTCCCCTCAAGTCTATAGCTGTAGGTTAGGGAAAATCTCAGATTATATATATTTAGTAATTTGGCTTTTAGCTTAGCCTAGTTAAAGAGCTTATTTCTCCTGCCTGAATCTTTCCCCCTCAGAACTGAAGTTAAATGAGGATTTCCAAATTTTAAGTGTAAGAGGGATCACAATCATGATTTAAAGCATATAAAAATTCCCTGTCCTTCAAACAATACAGAGGGAAAAAGGTGGATATAACATTCCTACAGTCTCACTGAGGCACTTCCCCATGCACTGAGGTAGCAGTGTTTGCAGTGACACCTTGCTCCAGATATCTGACAGAATTACAAATTTCCTAATTTGGGAAAAAACTCACATGTACTGCTAGTTAGGTAATATCAGTCAGGCAATTACAGCCATGTCTGCCTCGAATCATTCTGAAACAAGAGCAGGAAATGTGGATTTCCTCTGACTGGCACAAATCCCAACAGTGGCTGTTCACACACCAACAGCAGTGTATTTGCTACTGATCATTTTCAGCAGAAACATCAGCCTAAACAACACATTCCTCTGCCACTAACACTCAACTATTACCAGAGGGAGTGAACCCTCTGGTTTAAATCCATAGTAACTGCAAGCTGTCAGCATCTATGGATTTTTAAATATTATATTATCTATGCTACAAATAAAAAATAAATTGAAGTCCAGGAAAGTGCTGTCCCTGATTTAACTATAAAATAGTTTAATTATTGTCTCACTAACTACTGCATTTACCCACAACTGCCAAGCAGCAAACTTGGGGCTTTTTTTTTTCCACCAGCTGATAAAAACCTACAGCTGCTTTCCTAAAACATACCACACCGTAATACAATCACTGGTTTATCATTCACAAATTCACACTCAACTTAGTGATTCCAGGCCTACAAAAATCTCCCTCTGCATTGCTTTTCAAATCTTTCTGAAGTGTGCTGCCTCTGACCTGTGCCATTAAAACCACTAAAACACTGTTGTTACTTTCAGGATGTTCAGGATGTTCCTTCCTGTGAAGGAAGTTATGGTTTTGCTCAAAAAACACCCTCCTACCAAGGCAAATATACTTCTGTTCACATTCTCCTCCTATACACTCAGTGACACTTAGGTGGCAATTTTTTATCATGGTTTAATTGATGATGGATTAATTTTCAACACAGTAAGGAGGACACTTGTTTTTATTTTTGTTATCCAATAAAATAAGCATCCCATAGGACGTTTGAAAAATACCTGTGGGAATTTATATTCAATTTAGCACTGTTTACTGGCAACACCCCTGAAAACAGTAAATCCCGACATATTTCAATATATTCTTTCACCTTTAACGAGTAGCTTGTCCCGGACAGACACCCTGCGAGTGGAGTCAGACGCTGGGTTGGACGCACGGGGGCCTCTGACACCATCATCCCGCTTCAGCTTGCTTGCCAGCGTTAGCATTACTGCTGCTTCCCACCTGGAACACAACGGGAGGGCAGGGACAGTCACCAAAAACCAGGCCGAGGAGGAAAACAAGTCAAGGTTGTTGAAAGAGGAGTGAACGACCGCCATCCACACAGAGTTGCTGCACACAGGTAACAGCACGGCGATTAAAGGCGGGGATGGCACCTGAGGAACGAGCTTGCTTGGGCTGTGAATACTGAGGGAGATGCAGTTCACCAGGCCAAGAGGAAATTCAGTTTTCTGGAGGGGGGGGTCAGGCTTACATCAGTGTTTACAACCCGATTTCACTGCCTGACAACTGCTCCTTCCAAAGGCCGGCTGTGAAATTGCCCCTGGCAGCCCCCTACACTCCTCCACACCTCACAGGACAACATCCACAGCTGCCTCTTGGCCGGCCAAAAGGGGGAAAAATAAAAATGAGAAATGGCAGGCATTCCTGGAACAACTCTAACTAGGAAGTGAGATTTGAGACAGCTCCCAGGGCACAGGAAAGGGACTGAGGCTGCAAACAGTGCAATTATCTACACAGCTGCACAACACCAACTCCTCACAGGGCAAAATCCTGACACACAGAGACCAAATAACTGAAATGAGGAGATACTTTTGCTGTGCCAGCCTTCCACTCCATAAAATAACTGCACCCATAAATTAATTAAAGTAAAAGGTGGTCAGAATGCCAAAGTCATGAAGCCAAAATATCCAATCTGTCAAGGTTTAATATGTTTTGAGCCTACTCCCAGTTGAAGGCAACTCCTCCTTCTTTAACATTTTGGCTAAAACCAACATTTGGAGCTGACAAAACCCAAACCCTTCAGGCCACCCAACAGCTAAAATTTTAGGAGAACTGCTTATTCTTGAAGTCATATGAATTAATTAAAAAATGCAAAAAGCCAGGGTATAATCTTGACTTGGAGGTTGAGAAGAGCTTAAGAGAAAAACGAGCAAGAAAGCTCAGAAAAAGGAAATAATGCATTTCACGGCAGTCCCTAACAGAAGGAAACTCTGGTGAGATCTACACGAAGGTCAAGCTCCCTGACGCTGACAAGTAATGTATGTGTGTGTCAGCTTCAAGATGTATGTTTAAAAACAAAACTACAGTACAGGGTAAATGTAAAACCCAGCTGGTTCAACTGTAGTTTTTACCCCGAAGAAAGAAATGATAAGCAGAACAAAACAGTCCATTTTTCCCTGGAGAAGGAAAAAACAACAGCTGCTTTCAAAAATAAAAAAGGAAAAAAAAAAACCAAAAGAAAAAAAAAGGGGGGGGGAATAGGGGGGTCTGAAAAGTAATGAAAGCGGCCATAAATTAAAACAAAAGAGAAAAAAAAACCCAAACCTGTCAACTGAAGACCAGACCAGCTCTGTCCCCTCAAAAACACCCCCATCTTTTAGGCGCTGATTCCAAATAAATTCAGCTTCGATGGGCATTAAATGCCTAAATACCTTTACAACTTGTCCTAGGCAACCAGGAAACCCAAGAGGAGCGTGACCAGTCTGGAAAAGAAATTATTCGCTTCGTCTGTATCCTAAATTCTAATGAAACACAGCAAGAAATCACTCACAAACCGCAGGTAAAGCTTTAGCGAGGAGACAGAGGAGGAAGGGAGAGGTGCTGTGCTTATTTCTAAGGAAGGGAGCAAGAGTCCGGGGAATTCTCCGGCTCCCGCGTAGTGAGGAAAGCCCTCTGCAAGGCGCGGGGATCGGGGGAGCGCGGCCGGGGGGCCCCGCTCCCAGCCGAGGCCTGGCGGGCCGGCGGATGTGGGGACAGCGGGAGCGGCCAGGCCCGAGCCGGCGGCTG